ATTGACGTAAACTAAGAAAGAATTAACCCAAGAATGTATACCGTAACACAAAGAGATACTATGAAAACAGAAGGAACTAAATAAAACTGATAAAACATGGATGTATGACAACCATGATGCAGCTACAGTGAAGCTTCTCAAAACAGATACAAATTCATTCTAATCCGCTTTGTAAGATCAAACAATATCAAACGGGACATAAAAAACTGAGTGTGAGTTTGCAAAAAAAAGTATATCATTTCAGATACAACTCTAAATTATATAGCTACAAATTATTAAATTATATATTCAATATACTACTAAAAGATATATACTAAAAGGTCGAGAAATCGAAAGGACGAGAGCACTAAGTGTACCAGACTTAACAATGACAACAACATACACGAACATAACTTATTAATCCAGTGGATGGGAATTTTTCTAATCCACGTCTAATTCACAGTCAAAATGGCGAAAGTACAGTGGACAAAAACGATTCGTCATATTTCGTCTTTATTTTCGAAGGACAGTCAACAAACTCTAATGGACAACTCTAAATGGGTAACCCGAATGTCGCCAATAATAACACAGGATACATGTGAGAAGTGAAGCTAATGTTTTTACAATATATAAAGCATAGCTTACATTTAGGATATATTCGCATATGAGCGAGTCATGTTTTTAATGAGGAAAAAGCGAGATTAATATGAAGAATAATAGTGATCACAACTAGACGAAAAAAACAATGAACAAAACGAAATAGACGACAAAGTGTACCAAAGTCATTATAATACTCTTAGATCACGCGCACACACATGTGAAAAGCGGTAAGACAAAAAATAGAAAAATAAATACTAAAAAATCGAAAGGACGAGAGCAATAAGTGTACCAGACTTAACAATGGCAACAGCATACACGGACATAAGCTATTAATCCAGTCGATGGGAAATTTTCTAATCCACGTCTAATTCACAGTCAAAATGGCGAAAGTACAGTGGACATTCGTCAATTGGCGAAATTTCAGTGGACATTCGTCAATTGGCGAAATTTCAGGGGGTATATTGGCGAGAGTACAGTGGACTTTCTTTCGTCATTGGCGAATGTCCTATTCGCGAAAGTCTTACTTGGCGAGATTCCGAAACCCCCTCTAAATCAGCTGGGCAAGCCTCATCACAAGATGTCCGTCACAAAATTCATCAGTGAAAACATTTTTCTCAGTGACCTTAGCCTCATTTCTGCTGTGAGATGCTTTTTCAAAACCGTTTCACAATTTAGTGTGACTGTTCAGTGTTTAAGAAAGAAACCAAGTGTATTATGTCAAACAACGTGTATAAAAGAAGAAGTTGCAAAAAAGTGCGGTAAAACACGCAAACTATAACAATAGTTAAACTAGAAACATGTTAACGAAGAATGCATGAAAACGATGTGGAGTTCTACTTGGTAGAGATCCATGACAGCATGTCAAACAGACTTATATTACAAGCCTTGGCATCAATCTTGCGCACTCTGACCGTTCGATCCTCCATTATTCGGACCTTGGTTGCTGTTTCAGCCTTGTCCACCCTGCTTCTTTCCTGAGCCTTGTCCACCCTGCTTCTTTCCTGAGCCTTGTCCACTCTGATTTCTCCCTGAGTCTTGTCCATCCTGGTTGCTGTTGGGGTCTTGTACAAGTACCATTGTTTGCACGAGTACCTAAATCATAGAAATGAGACAACAAAGTTAGTCTTTGTGCTAATTGTAGTTACCAGTGAAGCGAGGACGAGTGCAGCCATGGCGGTGCTTTTCATCATTTTTTCGTTCTGTAGCTTTTCAGGTGAGAATATTGTTTGTGTTCTTTCGTCTTATCTTCTGCATATTGGTCGTGTTTATATATACTATTTGGTAGTACGCCTACCAATATTTTTGTGCATGACCTTTTTCTGCCTACATCATTACTTTTCTATGTTGACAAACCTGTGACGATATATCCATAAACTTTGAGATATTGTACACCGATGGGTACCACGCTGCATGGTGTAGTTTTCGATAGAGATCTCTCGCGATATAATGCACGTCTTGTATGATCCATTATGTGTTCAACTGCTGTGATAAAGACTTTTTCAATGGAACAATTAGCTTGTCGTCATCATCGGTTATCTTCGAGCGGTTTACCAGTAGTCGTCTATACGTAACAACAAGGTGGAGCGTGGGTGTCTTTTCACAGCTCAGTTTTTCGATTACGTCGTGAAAATGGTTTAGATATCGTGTCCGTTCTTCGAGTTCTCGATGATTAATTGTTAAATAATGTTGTCTTTGGATCGTGTTTAACACAGCGGGTAGTTCATTGAATACTTTCAAAAAAGAATCGAACATTATGTATGCGCCACTGAAACGCGTTTTGCAGTAATTGCAAACGCA